TCCCTGTGGTTGGAAACTATACTAACTCTCAGTTCAACCCACTTAAATTAAGTGACTCTCCACAGCCAATTAAAATGAAAAAAATATTGTAAACAGAATGTGTTAAATCATCTTACTCTAAATCTCTGAAGTAGGGTACCAAGAAACGGAATGCTTATTTTATACAGAAAACAGTGTGTGTTATTGGTATCATTTAATTGAAATGATAGACTCTTGAAGACCAACACGTTTTCCCTCAGTGACTGTGAAGATTCTTAAATATTACTTATTCACTAACAATTTTATTATAACTATACAAATAAAATAAAAACATCCTACCTGTTCAAAATAGATAGAAAAGTTGAAGGAAATACAAGTGAATACCAACTGATTTCAAAGCATTCAAATGTCTTGGTAAATTGTTTTATTAAGAAGAATTAGAAAGGTATTCCCATGGAGTCAACTGTCAGCATGCTTGTATTTATCACAAAATAGTGGTGGGGGGATCCAATGACCTAGCTCAGAACTAAAGGCCAAGTTCAAGATCCTGGGAAAGACTTTTAGATCAGTTCTCTAGGCATTTCTTCCTTAACTGTATCTATGCATATATTGTCTTGTAATTGGACTTCCTATTTGCTCTCTGTTCTGTCTCTTCCCTAGGATATTGCATAAATGCCCCTTCCTTAGTGAAGTTGACTTTAGGAGACCTAGGAAAAATTGAAAATTTCTTCCTCTTCCTATCTGTGGTGTATTGTTACTGTATTCCTACCATGGCATTTATTCTCTGGATAATCTTGTGTTAATGTACCCCTATTCTGCAACATAACCTCAAATAAAGACTACTTAACTGTATTCTCATGTCTGGAGAAATGACAGAAATATTTCTTTTATTAATCTAAGGCTTTGTCTATGTTTATTTCTATCAAATTTTTACCAATGTGTGGGTTTTACTTTACCCAGATACAAAGCCTAGGCAGACAAAGGGAAGCTTTTTGAGGGATTGAGTTTGGCAGCTGTTGTGCTTCTAGATGTGGAACAACAACAAACAGGGACAGCAGACAGGTGACAATAGCAGTGTGTCGCATAGGAGCTATCTCTGAAAGCATTTTAGCTCTTATGTGTGTCTAAAATATTGGGATCCCTAATTGGTTGGCATTATGGCTGTGGACAGTTTCAGGTAAAGAGATTCCTTAGCCCTTAACAAGCACTAGTGTTACCACACTTATATAGGCCTAGCAATCCGGGATTAACCAGATAGTGTTAAAGTCTGAGACCATTGGCCTGACAGATTTTTATAGCTCCATAGAAATCTTCCAGTGATCAAAACCTGTACTTTCTCTTCTCCAGCTCCTTAGACCAACTTTGCCTTCCCTCCCTCTTTTGCCATCTCATAACTTCTTGACCTTTTGTCTTCCTGTTCTCATGGTTCTCAAAGCGTTCAGCTGCTTCTTCTCTAGCATCCATATGTCTGATTCTTTTAGAACTGTGCCAGTTCTAATACCTATGCCACCCACCATTGCATTCTGCTGCCTCTGATGCTTATTTCTTTGTGTTTAGTTCCTTCATACTAGATGAAGGCAAAAAAAGACAACTTGGGCCAACCATTTTATTGTAACTCATGTAACTCCACCATGGCAAGAAGGACTCCAGACTGTCTTCTGGCCTATCCACTCAGTTTGCCTGGTGCCTTGTTATATAGACAGAGAAAATTATCCAGCCAATCATAACATACCTCTCAGGCAAATAGAGATTTCTGTTTGAACAAATCACAGCCTTAGCTATTTATACCAGTCACAGGCTTCCCCTGCTAGGCCATCAAGGGAGTGTATCCAGACTAAGCAAAAACATGTTGAAGGGAGATTCAGGATTAGTTATGGTTTATGATTGTGTGATAAAGAGTTTTATGCCAATTGGGCACAAGCTAAAGTCATATGAGAGGAGGGAACCTCAATTAAGAAAATGTTTCCATAACATGGTGTTTTAGGCAAGACTGTAGGGCATTTGCATAATTATTGATTGATTGGGGAGGGCCCAGCCCATTGTGCTTGCTTTTATTCTTGGGCTTGTGGACTTGGGTTCTATACAAAAGCAGGCTGAGTAATCCAGGAGGAGCAAGAGAGTAATCAGCACACCTTCAGGGCCCCCATGTCAGCTTCTGCCTACAGGTTCCTGCCCTGCTTGAGTTCCTGCACTCACTGTTTTTGATGATGAACCATTTTATGGAAATGTGAATGAAATAAACTATTTCCTCAAGTTACTATTGGTAATGGTTTATCATCACAGCAAAGGTAACCTCAACTAAGAAATTGGTAGCAGGATTTTGGAGTCATTGCTGTTACAGATGTGGCCATGTTGCTTTGTTATGACTTTGTTGTTTTGTAGAAGGACTTCAGAATTTTGGGCTAAGATAGCCATTGAGTTTTAGAAGATTGGTGAGCTGTTTTGTGGGAGGTTGGAACATATAATGTGAAGAGAAATGCAGAGGATGAAAGCCTGGCTTGTGAAGTTCTAGGGGAAAGTTTAAGAACCACCCAGTCTCCATCATGGCCTTTAGACATTTTAAGTTAAGAAACTGTAGTTCTAGTTAGCCGGAATTGAAGAATAGCTGTAATTAAAAAGAGACTAGAACCACTGAGGTAACACCTTTGCTTTGCTGGAGTTTCCAATGCTGGTCGGCTGGAGCTAAGAAACTAGCAGTGATTAAGAAGAGACTAACATCATTGAGGTGAAATCTTCCAGGGAGTGTTTCCTCAGGTTCAACACACAGAAGCTGTGTTATAGAGGTGGCCAAGGTTATAACTCTTCCTGGAAGCTGAACTTGGTAGTGGAATAGTCACCCAGGTGGTAATGGTTTTGAAGGCATAAAGGGGTCATGGAGAGCAGCTGAGGCTTGAGACTGTGTGGCAAGACTGAAGACAGCATATGAGAAGCTATTGGTGAAGGTGCAGCCAAGTTGCAACAATGCAACCCTGCATTATGACTATGCCAATACAATGGGTTAACCACCAAGAATAGCAGGAGTGGGGGAGTGTAGCCAAGCTGTGTGTGCTACATAAGGCAGATCCAGGGAGGTGACAGAGGCTTTTTAAGAAGCCTGGAAGATCATAAGTGGATCCCAGACATGGGATCTTGAGTTTGACATGGTTTGGTTTTTTGTCTGTCTGTTTGTTTGTTTGTTTTTTAGATTGTATGACTATGCCCTGATTCTGCCCTCTTGAAGTAAGATAGCATTTAATTTTATAGGAGCCTACCGTTGAAAGACTTTGGATTTTAAAAGACTTGATTTTAAAAGAGACTGAATTTTTTAAGTCTTTTAAATTTGTAAGAATGGATTTTTAAGTTTGAAAATATTTTATTTTGTGATATCAAAATTAATCTTTAGTCTTGGGAATGAACAAGAAATGAAAGGTTGCAGCTTAACAGTGGTATGTTTGTGTGTCAAGCTGACAAAGGGTCAATGTGTTGAATATTTTTATGTCAAACTGACACAAGCTAAAAGCATCTGAGAGGGTGGAATCTCAATTAACAAACTGCTTCCATAAACCCAGCTGTCCAGAAACGTATGGGGGCATTTTCTTATCGATTGATGGGGGAGGGCTCAGCCCAGTGTGGGTGGTTTTATGCCTAGGCTTGTGGTCTTAGGTTTTGTAAGAAAGCAGGCTGAACAAGCCAGTAAGCAGCAGGCTTCCAGTCTGTCTACGTCATCTCTTGCCTCCAAGTTCCACACCTGCTTGAGTTCCTGCCCTCACCGCCTTGATAATGAACTGTTATAGGAAAATATGAGTGAAATAAACCTTTTTGTACCCAAGTTGCTTTTGGTAATGGTGTTTCACCATAGCAATAGTAATCCTAAGATACAGCACCAAGTCCAGTGCAAACTGAAATAGTCCTTGTGAAGGTAAAGAAATTAACTGTGGTCATTTTTTGTCTTTTTTCTCCATCCACCAGGGTACCTGTGAATTATTCAAAATGTTGGGCTAGCATAACGGTAGTCTAGTTGGCTATTGTCTGATGGCCTTTTTTTTTTTTTTTTTTGCTAATAACTGTTAATTATAGAGTCAAACCACCCTATCACTCACTTGTTCAGCCTGCTTTTCTATAAAAGGCAGCACTACCAACGTAGGGTGGTACCACCTAGTATGAAATGGACCCTCCCATATCAATCAGTAATTAAGAAAGTAGTGCTCTGCAGCCTAATATTAATGGAGGCATTTTCCAAATTAAGTTTCCCTCCTCTTCAGTGACTATAGCTTCAGAAAATCGATAGAAAACTAGCCAGCACAGAGGGAATCCCTATCTATCTCAGAATGACCTCAGAAGCATTTAATTTCATACTGGTTAACAAATCTCACTTTGAAACAAATTATACATGAGGATAGATTGAGAAAGCCACTGTGCACTTTTAATGGGTCTGGTGATTTTGATCAAATAATGTTTGCTACTTTAAATCATTTTTGTAAGTCAAGAAATATTTTTTATTTTTTATTCTGTTTATATTTCTGTTTCTCTCTGTGTGTGCATGCACTAAAGATCAGATGCTCGTGGAAGCCAGACAAAGATGTTGTCAGGTCACCTAGCTATAGAGTGGCAGGTGGTTGTGAGCTGCCTGGTGTGGACGATTCAGACAAATCTTGGGTCCTCTCCAAGAGCAGTATGTGTTGTTAATTGCTGAGCCATCTCTCCAGTTCTCCCCCAGAACAGTCGTGACTGGTTTAGATATACATTTAAAAACACATATGTATTGCAAGGATCCTATGAAACAGGTCACATTACCAATTCTATTATACAGTTGAGGAAACTGTCAGTGTTAAAGCTGCTTTGGTTGTATGATTAATGGAGAAAGCTCCCCCAAGAGTAGGTTCCATACTTTCAATCAAAGCATCATAGTTAAAATGCTGTCTTGCTTTGGACAGTTTCATTGCATAGTTTTAACTCATTTTCTCTTCTTAGGACATTCATAAACATTTGTTAATGGCAGTGGTTTTATAAACATTTCATTATTTCTCTTTTTGTTTTTGCAGTGGGATGCCATTACTGAAATGGATGAGCACAACAAGCCCATCCATACATACCAGGTATGCAACGTCATGGAACCAAACCAGAACAACTGGCTTCGTTCTAATTGGATCTCTCGTGAAGCTGCACAGAAAATTTATGTGGAAATGAAGTTCACACTGAGGGATTGTAACAGTATCCCATGGGTCTTGGGAACTTGTAAAGAAACATTTAATCTGTATTATATAGAATCGGATGAATCCCATGGGACTAAATTCAAGCCAAGCCAATATATAAAGATCGACACGATTGCTGCTGATGAGAGTTTTACTCAGATGGATTTGGGTGATCGCATCCTCAAACTCAACACTGAAATTCGTGAGGTGGGGCCAATAGAAAGAAAAGGATTTTATCTGGCCTTTCAAGACATTGGAGCATGCATTGCCCTGGTCTCAGTCCGCGTATTCTACAAAAAGTGCCCCTTCACTGTGCGGAACTTGGCTATGTTTCCTGATACCATCCCAAGAGTTGATTCTTCCTCTTTGGTTGAAGTACGTGGTTCATGTGTGAAGAGTGCTGAAGAGCGAGATACTCCTAAACTCTACTGTGGAGCTGATGGAGATTGGCTCGTTCCTCTTGGGAGGTGTATCTGCAGTACAGGCTATGAAGAAATTGAAGGTTCCTGCCATGGTAAGATGCAAAAATACAAAGAATTTATCACCTATCTTAAATTGTTTCTCAAAAGTTATTGAATGTGCTTCCTGAACTTTTCTTGTTGAAGAAATTGACTTCTGTTAACTATAAAGAACATCTGATACATTTTTTCTTCAATATGAAGATATAGCATTCTTCTTTCAATTAAACCCTATGAATTCTTGGATTTATATCACTTTTATATAGGAAAACAGCATCAACCTCCGTGGATTACTAACCTTTGCTAATACTAAGTAAAATTTTCAACTACATCATATTTTTAATTTTAGTAAGGTTTTTAAAATGTCATTGTTAAGAAATAATAACATTGACAATGCATTTAAATTTATATCTCACACTCTTATTATGAGAGTGAAATAATTATAATTAAAAGGATGATTTTTCTCTCATGTAAATCATCTTATGGAGATGTGTTAATAATATACATATTTAAATGTTTTACTTAACCTTCATGAAGAACATACATGCAACTACAATTAAATTGAAATTTCATGTAAGACAATACAGAAATACAGTGATCGAGTTGGACACCTTGGTTTAATACAGATGTTCAGCTCTCAGTGGTAAATTATTCCTAGGAATAATTTTTCCTTCAGCACCATATTTTATTCATTCACTTATACAGTGGCATTATATTCACATTTGTTTAAAAAGATGAAAGACAGAAGGAACTGAAAAAAATATTCTCTTGTATATGCGTATGTAAATTATGAATAATAAAAGTGAATGTTAACAGATTAAATGAGTAGGACACATGAAATCTTGATTATCACAAATTTCAGTAGCCCATTAAGTGATGGTCATGTTTGATCTGGAAAATATTAGCAGTGCCATGAGAAGTTTTCTATCTTTTACATAAAGCATGAAACAGCCTCTACAATTTTGTTTTGTTTTGTTTTGTTTTGTTTTTTGATACAGGGTTTCTCTGTGTAGCTTTGGAGAGCCTATCCTGGCACTCACTCTGGAGACGAGGCTGGCCTTGAACTCACAGAGAGCCACCTGCCTCTCCTCCCGAGTGCTGGGATTAAAGGCATGTGCTGCCAATGCCCAGCTATGACTAGAGTATTTCATTTAAAAACAGATAAATCTAATGTTTTTCTTCACCTATATCAAGATTTTCTATTGGAGTAAATATAAATTGTGACTGATCTTAAAAGGAAGGGTCTATGAATTTCTTTTGCCTTAGAAAATGCCATAAATAAAAATGAATTAACTATTCAAAATTGTGGAAAAGCAAAAGAGCTCTGGATAAATATTATAAATCTAGGATCCTTATGAATTTTTATTTTATCAATGCTTTATGTGAAATTTCACTTATATATGGCATAAACCTACATTCATTTCTTGGCAGACATCGTTTTAAATAAATGATAAAGAGCATTAGTTTATTTTGAGATTGCATGTCTGTATTTAGTGTGATTAGCTTCAGTACCCTTCAACTGGTCATGCAAGTACAAGGGACTGTGTTCTGTACAGACAGCCATCATTTCTAAATAATGTATGGCAAAATGAGAAGAATTAACCTTGGATTTTATGTCCTTAAATTACTAACTAAAAAAATCCATTGACTGATTCACAAAATAGTAGTCATGGTAAATATAAAGTACTCATAAAACTTCTAAATATGTATGGTTCCCATTATAAATAATAAATTGTTATTTTCAAGCCAGTGGGGAAACAGTAGATGTGAAGAAATCTATAAACATATGCTTTCTATTTTATACTATTTATTTTCTTGAGCACTTTCATATTGTTCCTCTTTCCTGCTATAGTAAGATATATTATTGCTTCTCTTCTCTGCCAACACTTTATATCACAGCCAAACCTCTGAGTTTTTCATAGTAAATGTCAAAGTATTGAAATGTATATGAATAAACTTATTTGTGAACTTCATATACGTATGTGAATAAAATGCACACTTCAAACTATAACTTGACTACACATCCAGGGATGGAAAAAGAAAAGTATTATTTGTATTTGGCTTTATTGGTTTATTTTATTCTGATAAAATCATGATTTGAAAATGTTGATATTCCTTATTTTTGAATGGGTATTCTCTTAGTCACTCTAGTTGATAATGATACAAACACACACACTCACACACACACACACACACACACACACACACACACACACATATATATGTATACATATATCTGTTATACATTTCTTTGAGACAAAACAACACAAAACATGTTGGCTGGACACATCAGTGACTTGGTGTATCTCTGTAGTGGATAAGTTTACATCAGAAGAAGCAGAGCTTCCTTTTGCTGCTGGATTTTCTTGTCCTGCCTGGTCCTGCCACTCTGCTCAGCCCCAAATAAACACAAAAAGACTTATATTAATTATTAAACTGTTGGCTGATGCCTAGTGCTTCATATTGGCTAGCTCTGCCTTAATTATTAAACCATCTCTATTAATCTATGTATTGCCACGTGGTTGTGGCTTACCCAGCAATGCTCCAGCATGTTGTTACTCCTTCTGCAGCATGGCGACTCTCTGGCAGGCTCCCCTGCCTACCTTTCCCAGAATTCTTCTTGTCTCCTAGCCCCACCTATCTTATTGCCTCTATTGGCTATAGGCCAAACAGTGTTTATTCAACAACCAACAGGAGAAACATATATACAGATGGACATCCCCATCATCCTAATGTGACCATCTGATTGCTTGACCAGTGTTTATGACCATCTCTTTCTTCCTAGAGCTATTCTCTAGGTGGCCTCCAAGATTTCAAAAATTAGCTTAAGCTTTCCTACAACACAGAGGGATCAGCAAGGAAAGGCAAACAGAAAAAGGGAAGGAAATAAAAGGTTAAGCATTTTTGTGTGTGTGTGTGTGTTTCATGGGTGTAAAGGTGTAGAAGACAGGACCTGTGAGGGAGTCAATGACTGATACTGTATTGACAGAGGGCTACAGCTGGCATACTGAGCCTCATTCCATTCTGTTTCCTGCTGACTATTGTCCTATCCTTCCTTACACAAATCCATGCTCCCATATTATGACAGCATGCTGAAATCCAGCATAGCTTCTTCAAAAACTATTTCAGATGAAGAGTGAAGAGCTGTACTTGATGGTCCTCCAATTTGAAAGATATGTGTTTTCAATTACTGTTTTTAACAAACAAAACAGGAATTAAACTACTCAAAAGTGTTGAAGATTCTGAAAGATGGGAATTGAACACTAGTCTATTGTAATGATGAACTCATTAATATGCTAGCATGCCATAATTAGAAACTGATTCTGTTCTCTTAGTAAACTCCAGGTCTGTGTCTGGTTCTCAGAACCTGTTGGCTCCAGGTGCTGCTCTTAGAGTTCTGCATTTTGAGTCATTCTCCTATAGAACTGAACAGCCCCTTTAAACTTTCTACTTTTGAGCAAATCTGTGAAGTGCTTTAGCTCACTACCAAATTACGAAGACTATCCTCGCCAATTGTTCTTCAGTATGTACAATAGGTTGACCTCTTCTTAGGTACAGCAGCAATTTCCTTGGTGCTTTCCAAAACTCTGCTCCATATCTTTGCTGTCCTATTCAGTATTAATAATCCATCCATTTTCAAAGTGTCCTGCTTATTGTTTATTGTCAACTTTGACCCAACCTAGAGTAACTCTGGATAAGGGATCTCAATTGAAGGATTATCCTGGCACTTAGAGTGAGGTCCATGCTATAGGATATTGTAATTATTCTTAATTGATATCAGAGGGTCCATCACACTGTGGGTAGCACCATCCCAGGTCAAGTGGTCATGAACTCTATGAGAAAGTTAGCTAAACAAGCCTGTAATCAGCATTTCTCCATAGATTCTGCTTGAATTTCTACCATGACTTCTCCCAGTGATGTAATGTGATATGGAAGAATAAACCAAACAATCACTTTCCTCCTTTAAGTTGCCTTTTATAAGAACGCTTTATCAAAGCAATAGCAGAGAAAACTAGGACACAAAGCAAATGTCATTGCAATTTTTGACTTGACGTCATGGGAGTCCCTTATTTTCTCTAAATGTTTTCGTAGGTCTCTTGAAAGTGACTATTCACTGTAGCTTCAAAGAACCTCACGATTTGGCCTTCTTTTGCTTTTTAACCTTGATGAATTTTACCTGTTATTCTGGCAGACTGGTTTTGAACAATAGTCGTTTTCTCTGTGTCCCTTAATGTTTTCCATGTTTTATCTAAGGTCTGGGTTCCTTTATTAGTTGCTTTTCCTATCACTGAATTTCATTAATCTTTCCCGATCTACCATAACTTTTAGTATATGTTGGTTTTCACAAATTTAATTTGCTTTCTATTCTTTTGTGCTATCCTTTGTAATAATTATGCATGTGTCTGCTTCATCAGGGCTATCAGGTTAAAGAGCTGTATTTAACAAATCACCTGTGCAAGAAATGGATTTCTTTGTGAATGATCACAAGGCAGTAAAAGAAGAATGCAGTAAGAGTAAAGCCCACCCATAATGTTACATGTTTCTTCTCATTATGTCTCAGTGCTTTAGGTCTGCAAGCATCTAGAATATACATATTGGGAACAGAAATTTTTTGGCTGGGAGCACAGAAGAGCTGCTGATATAGTGAGAACTAAACCTCAGCTGTATCTCTGCTTGGCCTTTGAGAGGCACTGGCTATTTTCAAACTTTGCTTGAATAAACTTGAGAATTGGGGTCAGGCATGCAGCAAGCATGAAAGAAAGGGGGAAGAAAGAAAAAGTTTTGCTTTCTGAACTCTAATGCAGTGCCTTAGTTAGGACGCTATTGCTGAAATGAAACACCATAACCAAAAGCAATGTGGAGAGAAAAGGCTTTATTTCACTCAGTATTCCATATAACCATAACAGTTCATCATCAAAAGCAGTTAGGACAGAAAATCATGCAGGGCAGGAACTTGGAGTCAAGAGCTGAAGTAATGGCCATGGAGGTGTGCTGCTTACTGGCTTGCTCCTCATGGCTTGATTAGCCTGCTTTGTTATAGAACCCAGGACCACCATCAGAGGGATGGCACCACCCACAATGAGTCTGGTCCTCCCCCATCAATCACTAATTAAGAAA